CTATGATGCTGCTTGGCCTGCTGTGTTCATCCAGCCCTGCACCTTGTTGTCTCAGATTCTCCAGCATCTGCAGTTCCTACTATCTCTGCCTTTCAGTACTCTTCACTGAAGCAGGATTAATGGTTAGGGAAATATAGGGGGACATTAGGTTATCGATTATGGTTGAACTCATTTCTGCAGATAGGCCATGGGGCCTCATGGATGTGATACCCAGTTTTGAGTTCCTAGATCTGTTTGAAATCTGTCCCATTTATTTTTGTGCCACTTCGCATGATGGACAGGCCTTTATCTCCATAATGCCTGTACAATGGCAACTCTTACCAATACTACCATGGAGAGATACATCTGCAGCCAGTAGACTGGTGAGGATGAAGTCAGGTAGTTTTCTCTTGTTGCTCCTTCACAGCCTCCCAGGACAGGTACAGCACAGGGCGAGATACAGAGTAAAGCACCCTGTACACTGTCCCCAACAAGCATTTGTAGGATGAGTACGATGTAGTTTGAAGTAAAGATCTCTGATCTTTACAAGATCCTCAGAGTTGAAAGGGAACTGAATAGTGGTAAAAGAGTTACAATGAAAAATATTTTTAGTATTTTAGCTTGAGTACTAAGCTGAAAAACTTTTGGCCTGTTTCCCAGACCCCTTTATTAGATTTGGGCGATTAATGAAGGATCTTGCTTCTCTCACACATTAACTGTCTGCTCTGTCCTTGCAGTTACTCAAGAGAGTTTACGGCTCTTACCTCGTGGCTCCTGAGGATGGTAAAGTATTTCTAACTGTTCTCTATTGTATCAAATAAATGATCAGCCTGTACGGACCGGGATTTATTGATGTCTGCCATATTTTAACATATTTCTGTGAATCTGAAACTTACGAGCAGTTGAATCAGCCAGAATTCCTGTTCCTGATCACTGGCCATTGATAACAGTTATAGTTAGATATTGCTGAGTGAAGTCAGGATAAAGCTGATTTGGAATTGAGCTCTCACGATTTGTTACTGTCTCATCTCCCCTCCACCCACACTGCTGGCTGCTCTGTCATGTGATGTATGGTCACTTTTGTTTGAGTCTGAGGAGAGCAGGGGGTAATCAATGAGGAGTGTAAATGTATGGGGGAAAAGTTGCTGACCATCTGACTGTAAATTGTCCTGAGTGAATTCAGATTCTCAAATTGTCACAGTGCAATTTGAGCTGGCATTGTGTATGATTAGTGCAGTCATGTGCTTGGAAAGGTGTTTCCTAACCTGGAAAATGTCAACCAAGTGGAAACACCATATGAAGATGATCTGATAGTCCTGAGCTGTGTGTTCAGCTGCTGCTGTTTTGTATCCTGTTTGTGCAGTGGGTGTGGGGCTGGTTTAATCACTGCTATCGAATAAAGGATAGTTTAATGAAAATTATTCCCAAGTATTGACGCATCTCCTTTTATGTTGGGCACTTGTCATTCTGAGAACACCTGCTTGCTGGGAGTAAAGTAAAAGCAAACAGCTCCCCCCCATCTCTCCATATTGTCTTTGATGTCCAAAGGGCTGGTTATTCAATTGTACATATTCAGGCCCGTGTTAGGAAGTTCTGTTTCATTTGCCTTATGAGGTTCTGATCACTCTGACTCGCTGATACACCCAGGGCTGTGGTAAACCATCCTCTGGCGTCCATGGGTGTAACTGCCCAGATCCGGTTTGTATTGTGTGTCCACACCCTCTCCGAACCAAATTAAGTCCACCCAAACGCGACTCGATGTAGTCAGGAGGTGGGTGGGATGATCACCCAGTGGTTTGTTCTGGATTTGACCACAAGCACGTTCCAGCAGGAGACCCACAACCGAGGGACCTTGCCCAGCAGGGTCATATGATTGTGCAGCATCATCGGAGCATCCGCACAAGTGTTAACAAGTGCCAGTAAGAGCTGCTGGAGTTGGTTAATGTATCAATTTGCATGACGAGCTGCAGTTTGCATAACATCAAAAATGTTTCTTTTGTTTTTCAGTTGTTGGTTGGATTTTGATTCATTTGAATATCCTCATGTCAATCTGAACTCGTTGCATCAAAATCTCAAAAGTCAAATATCAGTGTATAAGAGTCAACTATCAGATACTGGGGCACAGTTACCATGGGGTTGGGGTTGTGGACGGGAAGGGGGAGCGAGGGGGGCACCTTTGTCACAGAGGGGGCCATGGGTTCCCAATATTGCAGGAGCAAGAGGAAGAGGAAACAGTCTTTGCTGACACTTTAATATTAAAAAAAAAAAGACTTCCTTTGTAACTGAAATATTTGAAATGATGGAGGCACGGGAGAAACTGGGTCTAGAAGTCACTAAGATAGTGATGCATGCCACAAAGGCCAGAAAGAAAGGTCAAATAAAGCACTAGGTTATTTCTAGCAGGATAGAATGGGGAAGCTAATACTCCACTTGCTTAGGTTGGACCTTGCGTGGAGTGCTGTGAACTGTTCTGGTCTCTATGTAACATAAAAAAAGGCACCGGGAAAAGTCCAAAGAATAATTTACAGGAATGATACCAGATAAATATCATGGATGAATGGGACTGTCTTCTCTATTTCATCCAGAGGGTGATGAGAATGTGCAACTCACTATCAGAGTGTGGTTCAGATGAATAGCGAAGGTGCATTTAAAGGGAAATTGGAAAGGGTCATGAGGAATAGAAGAATAGAGCTCAGTGAGGAGCTGGGAAGTGACTTTTAACATAAATACTGGCATGACCCTGTTGGACTAGCTGTCAGTGCCTGACCCAGTGCTGTAGAATGGACTGATCTTGGCTCCTAAATTTGGACCATACTGAGGCCTGCCTTTGTCTTTTTCAGGGTACAATGTATCTCTGCTGTTTGATCTGGAAAATATTCCAGCCAACAAGGACGAATTGGTGCACCAAGCTGGCATGCTGAAAAGGAATTGCTTCGCCTCTGTCTTTGAGAAGTACTTTAACTTCCAGGCAGAGGGCAAGGAAGGAGAGAAACGCGCACTGATCCACTACCGTGATGATGAGACTATGTAAGTGTCCAGGGAAGGCAAACGGTGTGATCTCTGCTCTTAGCAAGATTCATTTTTTTGGAAAACTGGGCCCATTTTGCAGCCTGTCTAATGCTAAGTCAGACAGAGAGTGGCTTGTGTGAAATGAAAACCTTTCAGAAAACCCATGTTGAAGCTATGTTACATTTGGGAAAAATTATGCCTGATTGCAAACTCGTGCAAGTTAACGGTATGGAATTTCTGACAAATTGGATCTGAACAGATCCTGGGCCTTTTTATCTGCAAAGTTATAAGGTCACACTCAAGTGATTGTTGTTGAAGAGGCTTTGTGGTGGCCCAGTGTTCCCAGTGTCTTGCCGATTCTGCGCACAAAGTAGTGATTCCTCCAACATCACTCCTCCCCCTGCCAAACCCAGCTGCTCCTCACTGTTACGGGGCTGTGTAATCACCTGGACTATTCCTCTACCTAGTTGCAGTTTTATATATTTCAGTTCTGTGGAAAGTTGGTCCTGTGATTGAGCTGTGATCCTGCTCTCTTCCAGGTACGTGGAGGCAAAAAAGGATCGAGTGACGGTGGTCTTCAGCACAGTATTCAAGGATGACGATGATGTTGTGATTGGGAAGGTCTTCATGCAGGTAGGAAGAGTGGATCATGACTGTTTGCCCTCAGCCATGTCACTGGCTGTATCCCTGTCCTTCAGTGCACACTCTATTCCTCACAGTACCCCTCCCAAAATGTCCTGGCCACATTCCCTGCAGGTGTGACCGAGACCCATCGGGGAAGCTACATTATGAACTCCCCCTTAATTCAAGTCTTTGTCATCTAAGCTGCATTTAGTTTCCCATGAAATGTTGTTCTCACTGTCTCCCTTTATTTGTGTAAATGCTAGTTGTAATTTGGAACTTTCCAAACAACTGGAAACAGGCAGGTGTCAGGAGCAGTGGACACATTTTTCCTTTCTTACGCTGGGCCAGGATGGGAGAGTTATAGAGTAATACAGCACAGAAACAGGCCCTTCGGCCCATACTGTTAATGCCAGTGTCATTTTCAGCGGATCCCTCTGTGCTCCCTGTGCTTTATTTATCTGTTGCACATGTACAGATGTGTTTCAGCGACTTTGCTGTGACCATTTGTGAAGGAGCATGGATTTGAGGTGGTAGAGGGTTCGCTGTAGTTGTGGGTGGTGTTGTATGAGGGCTTCCATGAAGAGCAGACTGAGTGGGGCAAGTCTTGTACTCTAGCAAGTGGGGACTAAATAATGTTCCATTAGCTAGGGCTTGTAGTGCCAGGGGAATGGTTCAACTCCTGGAAAATGGAATTTTGATGACTGGACTCAACCCACTTCTGGGTGCCCTGACCCCCAGTGTGGTGACCCCTTGAGTTAAGAAAATGAGCGAAATAGTTTTTGAAACTTGATGGCAAAAAACATATTTTGTTCATCTGGTGAAACGTTTTAGGGTAACCACATCTCCCTGGATACAGCCACTTTGTGAGCATTGCTAAAAGATTGTTTTTTCCATTTCTACAACTACCTCAGGAATTCAAAGAAGGTCGGAGAGCCAGTCACACTGCTCCCCAAGTGCTGTTCAGTCACAGAGAACCTCCTCTGGAGCTGAAGGACACTGATGCAGCAGTGGGTGACAACATTGGCTACATCACTTTTGGTAAGTCTCTCCTCATCCACCAGTTTATTCATTTATCTTTGGTGTGAATGGATAGTCGGAATCTGCAATGTTTAGTCCGAGAAAGTTCTACCTTGGCATTTTATCTAGCAATTGAAATAAGTATTAATCTAGGATTATAATAGATCAATTATCAAATACAAAATGTAGTTAAACTGTAGTTTTTTTTTTGTAAACACTCTCTTTTTCAGGTCTCCCCAGTCTTGTCACTTTCTTTCCGACAGACAGGAATCCCTGAGCAGCAGCAGTCACCACATTACTTTTTGTTAGGTTTCTTGTGAGCAGGGATATTGGATCATGATTGCAGCTGATTAGTTTCACGTCAGCTGCTCAGGGAGCAGAACAGCAATTTAACCAAGAGGTTATGAAGACATTGATGGAGTTAATAGGGAGAAATGTCTTCTCCAGCATAAAGGATGGTAACCTGAATAAAGGTTCCTCTACACTGTCCCCATTAAATACTCCCAGGACAGTACAGCATGGGTTTAGATACAGAGTAAAGCTTCCTCTACACTGTCCTCTTCAAATACTTCCAGGACAGGGGCAGCTTGGGGTTAGATATAGAGTAAAGCTCCACGAACACTGTCCTCCAACAAACACTCATAAGACAGGTCTACAGCACAGGATTAGATACAGAGTAAATCAAGCCCTACACTGTTCCCATCAAACTTTCCCAGGACAGGGACAGCATGGGTTTAGGTAGAGTAAAACTCCCATTACACTGTCCCCATCAAATAAACCAAGGACAGGTGAAGCTCTGCTAGCTAATATGTCGGAGTATAACAGTTTGATCTGTTGAGCTGCTCGTCTTCTCGGTTAGCAGTTCCATCTAACACTTGTCCTGTTGCTGACTAACTTACTAATGGGCTTGAGCAGAACCTCACCTGCCCTTTAATACCTCTTCATCCACTTTTGATATGAACCATGTAGAGCCCTTGTTATTTAGTGCCTCATGAAGCTATGTAGATGTAACTACATGTAGCAACATTCCTGCTGCCATGTTTCTGGGGCCGCCATCTCTCTTCGTCCCAAACCTCTGTCCAGCCTTTTCCATATAGTGGAACTTTTAAAGCTGGAGGATGTTAAATGGAAGACCATAAGATATAGCAGCAGAAGTCAGCCATTCAATGAGATCATGGCTTATTCCCATAACGCTTAATTCCTTTCTGATTAACAATCTGTCTATCTCAGCCTTGAATATTTTTAATAATCCTGCCTCAACAGACCTCCCATAAGGGGAAGCAACTTTTCTGCATCGAGCCTGTCAAGTCCCTTAAGAATCTTGTAAGCTTCAGTAAGGTTGCCTATCATTCTTCTATATTTCAATGGGTCCAGGTCCAATCTAATCAACCTCTCATAAGACAGTCCCTCCATACTTCGTTCTGCTATGTGAACCTTCTGTGGACAGCCCCCAATGCCAATCTTTCCTTGGATAAGGGGTCCCAAAACTGTTCACAGTATCCCAGGTGTAGTCTATCTAGTACCATGTAGAGTTTTAGAAAAACCTTCCAACTTTTGCACTCCATTCTCTTTGAAATAAATGGGTGTTGTACCACACTCTGTTCCTCCATATTTGCTTCTGATTAATTGAGGATGTTAAAATATAAGTTGTATTTACAATCTACAAAATATTACTGTTCAAATGTTGTGTAGTAAATTTTGTCATTATTCAAATCTGTGAAGTCTTGTGATTTTAGTCTTTGTAAGAGACTAGAATCTGAAACTTGTTTACTTTTTTTAAAGGAGCCATTAATACCCTGTTGGAAAGGCATGGGTTAATTAGGGATACTCAGCATGGCTTTCAGAGGGAGGTTGTGCCTAACAAATTTGTTAGAGTTTTTCGAAAACGCAATCAAGTGTGTTGATGAGGGAAATTCAGTTGATGTAGTTTACATGGATTTTAGCAAAGTTTTTGGCAAGGTCCCACATGGGAGACTGAGAAGATTTGAGGCAAACTTGACCAGATGGATTAGAAAGTGACTTAGTAATAGGACAAAGGGTAGTGGCAGAAAGCTGTTTGAGTGACCAGAGGTTGGTGTCCAGCAGTGTACCACAAGGATCAGCACTGGGACCCTTATTGTTTGTTATATGCATAAATGATTTGGATGAAAATGTTGGGGGAATGTTAAGCAAATTTGCAGATGACACCAGGATTGGTAGAGTGGTTAATAGCAAAAAAGATGGTTACAGGAAGATATAGATGGGTTGGTCAGATTGACAAACCAGTGGCAAATGGTATTTAACCCTGATAAGTGCGAGGTGATGCACTTTGGAAGAAGAAACAAGATGAGGGAGTATTTAATGAATGGCAGGACACTGGGTAGCTTAGAGGAACAGTGGGATCAGGGTAATTATTCACAGATCCCTGAAATCGGCAGAGCACGTGAGTAGGATAGTTAAGAAAGCATATGGGACACTTGCTTTCATCAATTGTGACATAGAGTATAAGAGCAAGGAGGTAATGTTGGAGTTGCACAGAGTATTGGTCAGGAAACAGATGGAGGACAGTGTGTAGTTCTGGTCACCTCACTACAGGAAGGATGTGAAAGCACGAGAGGGAGTACAAAGGAGATTCACCAGGATGTTGAAATTGGACTATAAGGAGAGACTAGATTGGCTTGGATTGTTTTCTTTAGAGCGGAAAAGACTTGAGGCGGACGTGATTGAGGTGTATATGATTGAGGGTTAGGGACAGGGTGAACAGAGGTCAGCTGCTCCCCTTGGTTGAGGGGCGGGAGGGAGCGTAGTTTTAGAGTAAGGGGCAGGAGATTGAGAGGAAATTTGGGGAAAAACTTTTTCACTCAGCAAGTGGTGGGAATCTGGAATGCACTGCTTGGGAAGGTAGTGGAGGCCAGAAACCTTAACCTTTAAAAAATATTTGGATGAGCACTTCAAATATCATGACACTCAAGGATATGGGACAAGTGCAGGAGATTGGGATTAGTGCACTTTTAGCGATAGTTATATCGTGCAGACTCAATGGGCCTTTTCTGCACTATGTGAATCTGTGAATCTATCTGTGTTATTAGTCACTAGCCAGATCGTAATATAAATGTGGTAACCTGGTACATATAATAAGTCCCATAATTGGTTTATGCATCTTCTCGAGTTTTTTAGTTCTGTTCCCTTTAGGAGCCTGGGTTGTCTCATTTAAAGAGTGTGTGTGTGTGTGTGTGTGGTGGAGAGGACTACGATTGGGAGTTGTGTTCTGCATTGTCTCTATTCTGCTGATCAGTTTTGTTTCTGTTTTGCCAGTGCTGTTTCCTCGACACACCAATCCAAACACTCGTGACAATACCATCAACCTGATCCACACCTTCAGGGATTATCTGCATTACCACATTAAGTGTTCCAAGGTGAGGAGCCAAACAGTACATCAGTATCCAGTGTTCAACAGTGCCAAGTCCCACTGGTAATAAACACGGAGTCTGTACAGATGTGGAAGGAGGTGTTTTGCTTATATTGATGATCCACTTCAGCTATAGATAATGGTTAAGGAGAACTAGCACTTCTCCTTCCCTGTATAAGTCCAAATCTTGAACTGAGCATTGGGCGCTGTCAGTTCTATGAGGCCAAAGTTGAGGAGTGGGACTAGCTGGATTGCAATTTTACAAAGGTGTTATAATCATATAATAAATTACCACAGGTGTTAGAAATCTGAAGTAAAAACAAAGTATTGGAGAAACTGAGCAGATCTGGCAGCATCTGTGGAGAGAAGAGTAATGTTAATGTTTCGAGTTCAGTATTGGACTCAAATTGTTAACTGTTTGTCTCCACAGATACTGACAGACCTGCTGAGTTTCTCCAAATTCTGCTTTTGAGGCTAAGTGGTCTTCTGTACTGTGATTCTGTGAAGCTCTCTAACAATGTTACTTTGCATTTGTGTATTTTGGGGAAGTGGTTATGCAGTGTTAAATTGTACTTTTTAGATCAAGGCTGAAGGAGTGATCTGATGTTCAAGTGACCTCTTCTTTAAAAAAAAAAAAAAAAAATTTTCCTGGCCATTAGGGTTATTCCTCAAGGCAAAATGATAAAGCATAGAATGTTTTGGAATGATTAAATCTGCCAGAACAAATCACTAATCATGTGTGGTTGTTTCTGGAGTCTTGGCAGTCACCACTTGCTCAGGAAATATAATATTGACATGTTTTTTTCAATCACTCGCCTGGAGGAGCAAATATGTTTCACCCACGGCTCAACAAGATGGTTCCTGTTCACCAGAGCACACTCCATCCAGCCCCAGTAGTGATCTACACTAGAACAAGCAATTATCATTTCCTTCTTAGCAAGCCTTGTTTTTGGGCGAAAGAAACTTCAGTGTCCACACTAACCTTTCAACAACTTTTTTTCCCAAAAGAAATCACTCCAGGGATTTCCACAAAACTTGAAAGAAATTCATTCACCTCAATCCTTCAAATGCGAGTTCTTGAAGGAATACCAAGAATGAAGCATCGGCACCACACAAAGCAATTAATCTCGGCATGCCGACCTGAGTGGTGAACCTAAACTGTGCTGTTTCACCACCAGTTGTATCACAATGAAGCTCAACTTTGAGATATCTGCTGTCTTGTCTTGTATAGTGGGGACAGTTGTCCAGACACTCCTTTCATTAGACAGAAATTCAGAAAGAGCTTTTATCCAACATTTATCTCGACTGTAACTCATTCTGATCCCAGCTGATGGTAAGGTCGGACAAGTCTAATCCCAGTAGGAAACCTAGTTGGATATTGCCCATCCTTAGTTACCGTGGTGAGCTGCTTCTTGAACCACAGCAGTCTACATGCTGTAGGTAGATCCACAGTGCTGCTGGGGACGGAATTCCAAGATTTTGACCCAGCAGCAGTGAAGGAATGATGATGTATTTCCAAGTCAGGATGGTGATGGCTTGAAAGGGAGCTTACAGCTGGTGGTGTTCCCATGTATCTGCTGCCCTAATCCTCTGAGATGGAAGTGGTCATTGGTTTGGAAGGTGCTGTCTAAGGAAACTTGATACTGTTTGTTTGACTGTGTCAGACTGTGGCTCAACTGGTCTGTGAACCACATGTCCCAGCTTTAATGTTAGCCCCCAGGTGTTGATAAGAGGACTTGGCAGCATGAACAGGGATGAGTTAGTTATCATCACTTCTGGTGCTTAAGTCAATGTCTAGTAGTCTATCCAGTCTCGTTTCTTTTTGAGATGCAACTGACCAGACCAAAGAAAGGTGTGAGGTGATGGCATAACGATATTATTGCTGGGCTAGTAACCCAAAGACCAACTTTCAAATCCCACGACAGCAGATGGTGGAAATTGAATTCAATAAAAATCTGGAATTGAAATTAAGGATAGCAGTTTTCCTTTTGGAAAGACATTGATCGACAATGGCGTCATGGTCATCGTTAGATTTTCAATTCCAGATTTTTATTGAATTCAACTTGAACCATCTGCCATGGTGGGATTTGAACCTCGGTCTTTGGGTTACAAACCCAGTGATAATATCATTATGCCAACACCTCCCACCTTTCTTTGTAACATCTACAGGCTGTCCCACACCCGTTCCCCCCGCCCTCGCAAAAATACTCAACAACTGGCAGTGGTCAATACCACAGGATATCAGTCATTCGTATAAAACTTGGTGAGCTGTCTGTATTCCTGAGGTTCTGTAATGGACTGGTTTGCGGGGCGATCTCATGTGTCTTCCTATTGTTTGCAGGCTTATATCCATACTCGTATGAGGGCCAAGACCTCAGACTTCCTGAAAGTGCTGAACCGTGCACGGCCAGAAACTGAGAAAAAGGAGATGAAGACAATGTCGTGAGTACCAGGCAGGAGGGTGGGGCCAAGTAATTGCCGCTTATCATCTGTTAGGCTCACTGGGTCAGGGGAAGTGAGCATAAAGCAGTACATTGTCCCTGGTCACCTTGTCCCTGTTGTCTGAGCTGACCTCACTACTGAGGACCCCGCTGCTGTTGAGTGTTCAGCACCCGTTCCTCACTAGATGTGTGAAGGTGAAAAACAGCTTTAAATGTAACTAAAGTAAAAATTGTGCTGGAGAAACTTAGCAGATCTTGTATTTGGAAGGCTGCAGAGAGCGTAGAGGAGAGGAGCAGCATCGTCGGGAGGAGTTATCTGAATGGCAGGCTATTGCACAGGAGCAGCATCAACTGCGCTGCTATAATTTCATGCTTCAAATGGAATATTAATGTTTCACGTCTTTTAATTTGAAGAATACAAAAGATGTTAGTGTTTTGCAAACGGCATTGAATAACTTTCCTCTGGTTGGTAGTTGGATTTATTGCGTGCCACTGTAACCTGTTAGAGAATAATTCCTGCAAAGGAGGTGGCAAAGTGCTCTGAACATTCAGAGCTCTGTGGTGAATTTCACCTGCTTTTAATTCAATGGGAATTATTGCAATTTATGTTGCCTCTGAAGGCGAGGGAAATGGAATTAAGCAGCTTGCCTGCTGTGACAGGATCTGTAAGTACCTGCAGGAGGGCAGCCACCATTCCAAAAGTGTGAAAACTTGAGCTTTCAACTCTGGCCCTACTCAGTTGAAGGCAGGTAATTAGAGCACTAGATATTGTCTCACAGCCTCTGGTGTGAGGGAGGAATGGAGTAAAAATAAATCTCAAAAGGTCCCTGCACCTTGTTTCTGTTCAGCACCCATTCCTCACTCAATGTGTGAAGGTGAAAAGCAGCTTTGAACATAGCTAAAATAAAAATAGTGCTGGAGAAACTTAGCGTCTGTTAAAAGAAAGAAACCGATGTAATGGTTTTGAGTCCAATGTGACTCTTCCGTGGAACAAACTCATGACTCTTCGTGCAATGGACTGACCTGTTTGCTCACTGCAACAGTTTCTAAAATGAATCTAAAGGAATAATATATTATTTAATTCCTGCCTGACATGACCGAGCAAAATGCAAGGAATCAGTTGCAATGAGAACAGGCAGGAAGCCTGTATGTGTCAGGGGAGGCTGTCTCTGCCCATAGCCTTCAGTCAGTGGTGAAAGACTTTGCTGGGAACTTGATTAAGTTATGATGGTACCTGATGTGCTGAAAGTCAGATAGAGCTGTTGGGATCCTGTGCATTACGGCTGTGCCAGGTCAGTTAGAGGGGTGATACGACTTGACTGGTATCCTTTTTTTTGCGGTATGTTCCCTGCTGTTCCTCTTGTTGCTGTGTTTTGGAATTTTTCCTTCAGCTTTGCATCCAATTCATTTGTGCCTGAAAACTTGTAATGGAAGATTATTTTGTGTATAATTTGAATTCTGTTTTGCATACCTCAGTCTGCTAAAATGAATTGTTGTCAGCCTCTGCTCAGTAGCTGCAATGCCTTTAAAATATTTCGCACTTTTTAACATTATAACCCAATCCAGTGAACTTTCCTGTTACGTTTTAGCAAATTAAAGCCAATAAACAAGCTAGTCTGCAGTAAGAGTATGTAGGCTAAGATATTTGCTTCATCCCCACAGGCAGACCTGACCCCAGTGTTCAACAGCGAGAGACCTGTCCCCATCACTCCTGTACCCCAGTGTTACACAGTGACGGACCTGTCCCCATCAGCACTATACCCCAATGTTACACAGTGACGGACCTGTCCCCATCACCACTACTATGTCTCAGGATAACACAGGCCACTGCTGGATCCACCTACATTGTTCAGGGGTAGCCTGCAAATGTACGCTTTGCATGTAGCTCTGCATGTAGCATGTTGCTTTGTGTTATAGTGCTTTTTGTATTTCTCCCTTCCTTCAGGTATTTCCATGGCAAACTCTATTCTGGCTTTATGCAGCAGAGTGCTTTTGGGGATAGTCCAGTAGCTACAGTGCCTAGAGAGTGGACAGACAGTGCAGTGCAATCCAGGATTGTCAGGTCTTCTGATAGATACACGCGTGAGTGATACAGGGAGGGCAACTGACCACATTACTTGAGTGCAGGAGTCACAATTGCAATACAGTGGTATAGTTTCACCACGAGCTGATCGCACCCAGTCTCATAGAAATAAGTGGTTAAAGTAAAACTATCCGCCTACACAGAGCTGGCAAGCACAGCCCTGCTTAACACTTCACAAAATCATAGACTCCCTACAGTGTGGAAACAGGCCATTCAGCCCAACAAGTCCACACCGACCCCTCCAAAGAGCATCCCACCCAGACCCATCCCCATACCCTTTCCTTGTAACCCTATAACTCCCATGGCTAATCCACCTAATTTACACACCCCCTGCTCACCACGAGCAATTTAGCGCGGCCAATCCACCTAACCCACACATCTCTGGACTGTGGGAGGAAACTGGAGCACCCAGTGGAAATCCATGCAGACACAGGGAGAACATGCAAACTCTACATAGACTGTAGCCTGAGGCTGGAATCAAGCCCAGGTCCCTGGCGCTGTGAGGCAGCGTTGCTAAACACTGAGCCACCGTGTCGCCCCTTGAAGGTCCTCAGTCTAGGTTAGATCTTTGCTGTTCTACCTGTGGCTACTCCTTGTAGCAGATCTGCTGTCGTGGTGTGCCAGTGACTTTACATCAACTGTGGGGCTAATCTTGTGTAATGTCACAGAATCCTTGTGGGTGACAGGCTACAATACCTTACAAAGTGCCTTGTTTATATCCTTGGGTATGTCACACACCTTGCTGGTTTCTGTCTTCTCAGCGAAATTCTTTTTTTGAGCCCACCTCCTTTATTTATGTGTACGTTAGAGGGGTTGATGCCTTCACTGCACACCAGCTGAAACAGACAGGCCTATCACTCAGTTTTGTTGAATCGGGACCTGGCAGTGTAGCCATGGCCTGCACAGCAAGCAACTTGGTGAGTGTTGGAGAGTGTGGGTCACAGGTTCCTTTGTGCGACTTGACAGAGTGTCAAGTGTATTTGTACTCACCAGCATCTCCCATAAAGCCCCTCAGTTAAATCTCTATAATCTCCCTCTCAGTTGGCAGTTCATAGAAACAAGGAACAAGAGTGGGCCACTCGACCCTTTGAGCCTGCTTTGCCATTCAGTAAGATTACGGTTGATCTGCTTTTAAGCTGAACTCTACGTTCCTGAATATCGCTGATAATCTTTCATCCCCCTCGGTCATCAAGAATCCATTTCCTTCTGCCTTAAAAATATTTAAAGATTCTCCATCCACTGCCTTTTTAGGAAAAGAATTCCAAAGACACTCGCACCTCTGAAAAAAATAATATTTACTTATCTCTGTTTTAAATGGGCGACCCCTTATTTTTAAACAGTAACCTGTAGTTCTAGATTCTCCCACAAGTGGAAGCATCCTTTCCACGTCCACCCAGTTAAGTACCCCCACGATCCAACATGTTTAAATTTATCCACCTCTGACTCCTCTAAACTCCAGAGGATACAGGCCCAGCCTATCCAGCCTTTTGTGACAAGGCAATCAACTCATTCCAAGTATTGGTAAATCTCCTGTGCTGCACCTGGTGATGCCCTCCAATTTATTCACTTTCCATGATGTGGGAAGGCATTCAGTTCCTGAATCCAGCAAGCAGCCTCCCTATGCCCACTCCAGGTAACCTGTTTCACAGGAATTTATTTGAATCCACCATGTCTGCTTGCTTCCTCAAGCACACTGTGTGTTTTCTAAGCCTCTGGTTATTGGGATACTAGGATGTGTTGGGAGCTGGCTGCCAGGTACCCCCCAATTGTGCTGTGAACAAGTGCCGGAGGGATGATGACAGTGAAAGGCCGAAATTGCAGTGTCTTCACCAGCAGTTTGTTCTCCGTGTGTAGCACAATGACAAAACTCCTTGAAGCGACCGTTAGTCTGACCTCCCCACACAGCACAGACACCCTCTGCAGCTTCGAAACAAGGAGGGGTGAGGGATAAGTGGACTAAGTTGGGGAGGGCTGGGTGGTGTGGATGGAAGGAGCTGTTATCTTGAATTGTTTCTGATTGTATTGTTCTGTCCACAGGGGGAAGACATTTTCAGCCCGATAATAAATCTTTGGGCCGATGAGCCTGAAGCTGATACTTGTGCAGATCTCCAGCATGGGGTCAGAGGGAGCCCTGTCGGGGGCAAACCGGGAATTTTTTCTGATTATGGGAGCTGGTTCCCAGCAGAGCTTTGCTTGCAGTTAACTCCTGTCGTCTTTGGTGCCTAGGCAGACTCATGATTGACAAATTTTTCCACCTTTCATCTACTTCTCTTCTCCTTATCCATTACTGTTATGCTGTTGCTTCCCATGGCCATTAACACTGAATACAGGATTTGACTCACCAGGGATGGTGCGCCTGCAAAAGTGGCAGAAACTGTAAGCACGTCCAAAAGAATAAATCTTTTATATGACACAGCTGCCTCTGGCTTTGTATATGTTTGGGCTTTGTACAAGTGAACAACATTACAGCTGGAATGATTAAACTCTTCAGTTCAGCCTCCAAAATATCCCCATCAGATATTCCCAGCTTTACTTCAGCAGATCCAAGCCAAGCCGTTAAAACTTTTCCTCATTAGATAGCCCACTCATTCCAGCTATTAGACTAATACAAACCTTCCCTGAATTGTTTCTGACACAATAACATCCATCCTTAAATAAGAAGACCAATACTATATAAAAGAAACTGAAAGAACTGTGGATGCTGGTAATCAAACAGAAATTGTTGGAAAAGTTCAGCAGGTTTGGTAGCACCTGTGGAGAGAAATCTGTTAACATTTAGGATCCATGACCCTCCTTCAGTTCGGAGGAAGGGTCACTGGACCCGAAACGTTAACTTTGATTTCTCTCACAGGTCCTGCCAGACCTGACCAATACTATATGCAGTGCTCCAGATGTGTTCTCACCAATGTAACTGAAGTAGGAGTAGGCCATTCAATCCCTCAAGCCCATTCTGCTATTTAATATGATCAGCTGATCTCATCTTGGCTTCAGCTCCACTTTCCTTCGTGCTCTCCACAGACCCTCAATCCATTACTAATTAAAAATCCATCTCTCCTTAAATTTACTCAACATCTCAATATCCACCGTTCTCTGGGGGAATAAATTCCACAGATTTTCCATCCTTTGAGAGAAGTGATTCCTCCTCATCTGTTTTAAATCTGCTACACTAAGCCTAAAATATTGACCTTTCGTTCTAGATTTTCCCCACAACAAGAAACATCTGGTCTGTGTCTACTTTGTCAATCCACTTTAGAATCCTTTATACCTCATAAAAATCTCTTATTCTCCTAAACTAGTGAGTACAGGCCTAAACTGTTCAATCTCTCTTCATAAAAAAAAAAGCCTTCCATCTCTGGAATTAACCTGGTGAATCTTCTCTGAACGGCTTCCAATTCAATGACCTGCTTCCTCAAGGGTCCCAAAACGGCATAGTACTCCAGATTCTGTTTCACCAATGCAATGCAACAACACCCCTGTATTTTTTTTATATACTCTATTCCTTCAGTAATGCATGCCAAAATTCCATTTGCCATCATTACCTGCTGTCCCTGCATTCTAGTTTCTGCAGTTCATGCATGAGGACACCCTGGTCCTTCTCCATCAAAGTGTTTTGAAATTTCTTCTCCATTTAGTGAAGTTGCATTTCTTTTATTTATTCATTCGCGGGATGAGGGCATTGCTGACTAGGCCAGCACCTATTACTCAGAGGGCAGTTAAGAGTCTGTCTCATTGCTATGCATCTAGAGTCACATGTAAGACAGACAGGTAAGAATGACATATTCCTTCCCTAAAGGACATTAGTGAACCGGACAGGTTTTTATTGACAATGGACTCATGATTGTCATTAGACTCTTAATTCTACATATTTTATTGAATTCAAATTCCAACATTTGCTGGGCTTCAAACTCTAGTCCCCTAGGTCTCTGGATTAATAGTCCCATAACAATACCACTAGGCTGTCATTTCCCTATTCTTCTGAACAAGCTAAATAGCCACACTTACACTTTGTTTCACACCAGGACATTAGTGTGGGACTCAATGTCGCCTTGATGTGAAAGACAGTCACTCACCTCCCTTGTGGAGGTCAGCACCTTTTGTCTTTGATCTTGAACCTGGTTGTGGTAACTTTCTGAACAAAGGCAGCCCCTATCCGGTCACTAATGACTGCATAGTTTTCAAATATCAATTGCAGGAGCCCTTGGAACACATTCAGTCATGTTCCTGCCTCTTTAATCAAAAGCTCTGTGTTCAAGACCCGTTCCTGGACTTGGTGACCCCTGAAAAAGTATGATATATTTTACAGCTTGATAATTAATCTGTAAATCCTTCCAACATTATCTCCCAATCGAGAGAAATGTTTGTGAGAAGAACCATAAACAATAGCATTAGATTAAAAGAGTTAAAATGTTTGTGACATGACTAATAAATATGAAGATTTGGAAGGATTTTAAATCAGCAAAGCATAACCAAGAAAGTGATAGAGTTATAAAATAGAATGTGAAAATTGAGAATTAACAAGAAATATAAAAGCAGATTGTAAGCATGTTTACAAATATCCATTTGATATTAGTGTAATTAAATGTGGCTTCCCTAGAGGCAGAGACAGCACATCATCATGGAGGACAAAATGGCAGAGAGGTTAAACAAATATTTTGTGTAGCAGTAGAAGACAAAAATCATATTTCTGGTGATTGCTAGTACAGAACATGAGTATTGGTGACAAAAAGAGACAGACTGTTGAAGGTAACAGTGTGGAGTTGGAGGAACGCATCAGGCCAGGCAGCATCAGAGGAGCAGGGAAGCTGACGTTTCAGGTCGGGACCCTTCTTCAGAAATGGTGGAGGGGGAAGGAAACTCAGAAATAAATAGAGAGAGGAAAGGTGGGGCTGGGGAAGGTAGGTGGGATTGCTATCTATCTAGATGGATACTATCTCAGACTGTTGAAGACTTCTGTCTTATATTCTTCAGGAGAGTTACGAGAATTCCAGAACAACACAAGCAACAATTTACTGATGACAGTTGGGATGCTATCATTTGGCAAGTTGTCTGATTTGAATTGTTGCCATGGAGAATATAGTGATGAATTATTATTCTTTGTTTTTAATTCAAAAAAGAAGTTAAATGATCTCCTTTTACCTGCAAAGGACAGGTCTCTGAATATGAATGTAAGTTTCTCGCTAAAGTAAGTGAGCTACATTGTGAGCCTAACAAGCTCTTTAAGTGGATCAGCATAATACTGAGATAACAAGGTGTAGAGCTGGATGAACACAGCAGGCCAAGCAGCATCAGAGGAGCAGGAAAGCTGACATTTCGGGCCTAGATCCTTCTTCAGAAGAAGGTTTCTGATGAAGGGTCTAGGCCCAAAACGTCAGCCTTCCTGCTCCTATGATGCTGCTTGGCCTGCTGTGTTCATCCAGCTCTGCACCTTGTTATCTCAGATTTTCCAGCATCTGCAGTTCCTACTATCTCTGATCACATTTGATGTTCTGTGTTTTACAGGTACAGGCTGGTTGAGTTTGAATATTCTTTTCTGAATAGCGAAGAGAATGTTATTTGATACAATCCATCAGTTGTTGGGACATATGGCCCACATATACATTTGGTATCACAGTGGAATTAAAATTCATAGAACCCCATTGTTCAGTTGTGTGACTGGGAGAATGTCTTTTTGGTTTGATACAAATTCCTGTTAGTGGCGAATGTCCTTTGTGTTGCTACTGCATAGTATCGGCAAGAAACAAGTCACATCACCCATTATTCACATTTCTGAAGTGCCTCCCCGGGTAATTTGAGGTCTGAAAGTTGTAATATACAGCAAGAACTGATCCAAATCAAGTCACCATTACCCTGCAGGCTTGCTTTGATGCACCTCTTTCAGCATGAGGCTTGCTGGTAAACTGCCTTAGGCCCCACTTAAGTAGTTGCTCATGATTTGTACACTTCTAATCTAAATTCTAAGGCCAGTCTTATAGTAGATGAAGTATATATTGACCATTGAAGGTAGACTTCTGGTAGATAATATTGGAGAACCTCAAGATAAGTTCCTCAATAAGCACATACAGTAAAGGGAGCTCGTTAGAGTGCATTTTCTAAGATGAATCATGTGTGTAAGGAAATTTTTACACTTGGCTCCAGATTGAAATAAAGCAAAAGTGTCATGTACTTATGGGCAATTTACAAAGGATGGGAGATTAGCAGTCAATTCATCAACAGGTCTTTCATGTGACTGTCAAAAATTATAGAAAGAGCTCAGCCTTGAGGCCGTGTCAATAGCGTCTATCTCGCCAAATTGCTATCAATAAAGCTGAACACGATTATACATGTTGCTGATTTCATAAATGCAATGGACACATTCAGACAACAGTACACTAGTTAGTCAACTCACACTACTCAATGAGCTTATGGTCACAACATTATCATTGATATACAGGGCATGTACAAGTCTTCCTGATGGTGAAGGAATCCTTCACCTTGTCTCTAGAATCTTCACTCAGAACTGCTTGCAGCAACTGACTGAATCCTTTGGCCAATGAGACAATTAATCAATATAGGTAAAATTTGGGTGCTGGAGAATGACCTGATTAAGTTCTATAAATATTGTGTAATAATATCCAGCCTTTACAACAGAAGTACATTATAAACTGAAATCTTTTTATTAGAGCAGAAAAATAGAAAACAGATACAATCAGATCAGATCCCATCATTATGGTCCAGATGTTGCTATGATTTGGGAATTGTTATTTCAGTCAGAAGTAATAGTTTAAACTTCCATGGATACTATGGGAGTATATGCAGAGTATATAGGAAGGTACATGTTGGCTCCTCATCAATTTGAGTTTGAAAGCAGAAACATACAAGGAAAGCATAGTGATACAAGTGAATACATTGGAGTACATGATGAATATACTTAATAGGAGTACACTTTAAAGATAGTGTACAGTGAAAACATTGGAGTAATTGTAAATATACAGGAATATGCAGTGTTCAAGCAAAAATTGGCAGTCTTCAGTCATGCAGGAAAACATGCAACTTCACCAAATGTTAACTCAATCCAACTGTTTATTCATCAGACAACTGCCATAATAGTGCTGAGTGAACCTACATGACAGACACATTCCTGTGCCTTTGATAGAGCCAGATATTGTTTTTTTCTACCTGAACACGTTGCCCCTTTCACACAAGATACAGTATGGGACATGTAAATGTAGCCAATCAACAGTCCTCAACCCATCAGCCAGCAGATCACTTGACAAAAACAAGATGATCAGAATAACATCCCAGAATCACCAGACATTCCCTTTACCCTGCATTATTTGCTGGAAACAGGCCGGAATGCTTTTCGGAAACTTTCTCTGCATGAAGAAGATTTTTACTGCAGAATTTCTTTGGATTCCTGTTTCTCCGAAACGACTTTCCCATTTATGACCTTCTGGGAAATGATGATGACTTTCTTAGTGGTTTTCTTGTCTGCAATAGAAGGAGATTAGTGAGTGCATGGAAATATGTGTGAATACACAGTGAGTCACGCAAATATGAGTGAGTACACAGGAATATGTGAGGACATACAGTAAGTTACATAATCTTTGATCAACTATTGTTTGATCTGCTAACTTAATCAACTAAGTCCCTTTGTAGTGTCCATTTTCCACCTAAAGTTCCAGCAACATGGCAGCAAAGTCATTCCATTCAGAGCTCCACTCTGCTCACCAGTTCTCTTTCTCTTTTCTTTCTTTGTCCTTCCTTTTTTGCTTCCTTCTCTCTCCCTCTGCAGTAATTCCATCCTCTCCCATACCTGCTTGTAACTACCTACCTAAGGAGTCAAGGAGCTGGGTCACGACCGGGAAGCATGTGGAGGGAGCTGAACGTGTGGGTTGTGGCCTGCAACGATAGCGAATCAAGCGAGCATGGGGCGGAGCGACGGCGGCAGATTGAGAGTGGGCCGGTGAGGCAGCGGCGGCATGAACAAGCCTCCAAGGCAGCCGAGAGTAGGATTTTGGCAGAGGCATGGCGAGGGCAGGAAAGCCTGGAGCGGGACTCTGGCGGAGGCATGGCGAGGGCAGGAAAACCCAGAGCGGGACTC